GCTGACCCTAGAATCAATGGATTTTAGGGAACTCAGCCTTTCAGGATAGAGCCCGAAATGTTTAAAGTATTTAAACTTGTACGCATCATTCGTTTATAATCTTTTTTACAGTAACTGGGACTTGCTAACTTCTTATTTTTATGCTGAGATAATGATTTTAGCAAGTGATAATGCTTTTATTAAAAAAAATCCTCACGCTATCTTATATGACCCTTGATTAAGAGGGAGGCAAGTTCACTGTGGCTTTTATTCAATGGAAATGGCAACAGCAGAAGAACGTAGACATGAGCAACCGAATCATTTCAATGCCATTTTCTGTCTTTTATTTTCATCTACAGAAGCTGGAAGTTATGAAGTGACAAACCAACACGTAAAGCAGAATGGAAAATTAGAAGATAATCCTGCCACTGGCAGTCCCCCACGGACTACGTTACTGGGGACCATATTTTCTCCTGTTTTCAATTTTTTCTCACCAGCAAATAAAAATGGTAATTATTATCTGAAGTGACCCAATTATACCTGCTTATTATATTAATAAGATAATATCTTAGTATGATTGCTATTTAATTTTTTTAAAGGTTGTCAGGAGAGCCTTCATGTTGACTAACCAAGCATAGGTTACAGCTGCTATAAGGAAAACTGTACCTAACCCTTTGAAGAGTTGCTTTAGCAGTGTAAGAGGAAAAATGCTTAGATGCCTTGAAATATTTGTTTCCTAGTCTTGAATGTCTGATATTTTACTTTGAGTTATGTAGTCTAAAAAATCATTTGCCGTTAAGTTCTTTAACCTGCTACAATCTAAAATGAGTTTGTCTCTTTCTCTATTTTTGGTTTGTATTTCAGTAGCTTGAATTAATAGGGCCATCTTCAGTCGTTCCATTTTTTCTTGCATCTGTCAGTGAATACTAATACTTTGTTGGGTAATGGCAATGAGTACCAAACCTTAATTTCAGGAACATCAGGATCAGATTCCCCCGGGCAAGCTGTTGAAGCTGAAGAGATAGTCAAACAGCTTGATATGGAACAGGTGGATGAAATCACTACAAGTACTGCAACGTCGACCAATGGAGCAGCTTACACTAGCCAAGCAGTGCAAGTCAGATCTACTATCAACAATGGTTTAGAAGAAGTAGAGGAAACAAGCGATCGTGATCTACCACCACTGACAGGTAGGAAATGTGAATTTTCCTGAGATACCCATGTTAAATGTTCAGTTAGAAAAATGTGTTTCATACAGAACATTGCCTATGCCCTTTGTCTAACGGAGCATGCAAAAGTATTTACTTGCATCATGATTTCTGTGAGCATGAGGCACTGGGGATACTCCCTTGTTAGTCACCAGGATGAAATCTTAACTTTCTGTGCCAGATCCATTTCTGATGTAACTCTGACTTCCATAGAAAGCCCAAGTCAGATGAATCTTGTGACTGAAGGGGTCCAGATTTTACCTCTTAGTGAAAAATGAAATTAAAAGAAAAACTGTTCAACTGCCTGTCGTTAAAGAGAAGCTCCCAGTCCTTTGATCGCTGTCACGAAAGAAAGTGTCACATCGTAGCAATATAGATGATGGATGTTTACATAATTATCACCATCATTTCCAAAGAGAAAATCCACACATTTTTCTACAAGAGAAATCCACCTTGGTTTTGGACAGTTATTTTTTTAGCCTTTAAAAGATGAGATCTACTACAATACAGAAGGCCAGTGCAAGTTTATGTCCTTTTGTGTGAGTCTTACTTGAATCCTCAAAATAATGGTATTTTAAGTAACGCAAAAGCTTATGCGGGCTACTTGCCTAGGAGGTGAATCTCACCCAAAGAAAGTGAGGGGGGAAGAGAAGCAAAGCATAAATGTATTACGTACAATTTTTTCACCTTTTAAAACCATGCACTAATAAGACTAGCTCTTGTGGTTTTTTGTTTTATTTTTTTTTGGTTGGTTATTTTAATTGAATTTTAGCACCAGTATCTCCAGACAGTGGTTATTCATCAGCTCATGCAGAAGCCACCTATGAAGAAGACTGGGAAGTCTTTGATCCGTAAGTATTCATATTTGTAGTGAAACATTAAAGTTACAATTTTGAGCACTAGATTAAAAATCATTAGCTGGTTCGTTTTTAACGATAGAGCTTATTTGTGATGTGTGGGGTTTTTTTAAATGGGCTAACTTTAAAACTAATAGTACGCTTACCGTTTATTTGTTCAGTTTAAATGACTGATTTCTTGTTTGTCCTTATGACTCTTGTTGTCGTACTAAACTCCCGGTTGGAGTAATGCGAACGTAGTTCTACAACACGGTCTTTTCCTTTTTAGGTATTATTTCATCAAACACGTTCCACCACTAACAGAAGAACAACTCAATAGGAAGCCAGCTCTTCCACTGAAAACAAGAAGCACACCAGAATTCTCTTTAGTTCTAGACTTGGTAAATATATTTTTAGACATAAAAGGCAGTATTTGCATAAGTAAAAAGAGATCTGGTGGGATATAGGATTTACAGAGTATTTGCAAAGGTTTTACAAATTTAAAAATAGACCAAGTTGGAAAAAAAGAAGTTGAAGGCGCTAAGAAACTATCACTGAATCACAGGAATAAGATTTTACTGCATTTGTTGCATGATTCATTGTTTTTCTTTCAAAAAAACCCCCAGTCATTGAAACTTTAATCTTTTTGAGCAGAGTGTTAGCTGACTCTCTAGGGAGCCTTTGTAAGGATTTATGGGGAAAATTCAGTATCACCTGTACTTGAGCAAGTACTGATAGAGACTGTCTCAGTGCGTGTCATTTAATTCATAGAGGACTCTTCTTATCAGCAGTACAAAAAATCCTTTTAAAGATGTTTATGTAGCATGTTCTTTAGAGTTATTTGTTTTTTCTCCCTCTCAATCGTAAAATCATAGACAAATAGGGCTGGAAGCACCCTGTGGAGGTCCTGTAGTCCAACCCCCTGCTGCGGCAGGATCATCCCTATCCAAACCATCTCATACAAATCCTTGTCTAACCTAGTCCTAAAACTACACCGTCCACCCTGTCACCCAGCTACAAGGCACAGCAGCCTAACCGACTACAGGATTAGCTTTACTGCTGCAAGGGTTGTTAAAATATACTCAGTAGATCCAAAGAAAAGGGCCATGCCCCCTACCACCTGAAGAAGGCAAAACCTTCCACAAGCTCTGCTAATCCAACCATGGGGTAAACTTCTTTCCTGACCCCAAATGTGGCAGTCAGTCTGACCCTGAGCAGAGGGCCAAGACCCTCTAGCCAGGAACTTCCAGCTATTAGTTCATTTTGATATGGTTAAGTGGTATAATTGGATAATTCAGTCATCGTGTATATCCATGTTTAATTCATATATCGAAATTCAAGTCTTTTAACAAATGGAAGAAAGCAAGAAAGAACTTTAGGGAAAGTAATATGATACTGCATACCCAATGACAGTTGTGATTCTGACATTATCGATGACCCCTGTCAATCGTGTGACTTGACTGAGAGGAACAGGCATGAATTGAATGAGAGGGTTGTAGTCATCTCTTGGGATTCCTTCTGTCTGTGCAATAGCTCCAGTTACAACAGAAATGAAGTCTATAACGTGCTACATTCAGAATTCAGTTTGCCAAATATTAGTGTATTTTGCCCTTCAAAAAGCATAAAGAGGCAAACAATTACTTATCACCAAAACTTTTCATGTTAGCATCATCTTCTTTTTTATCTTTTCTAGGATGAAACATTAGTGCACTGTAGTCTAAACGAGCTAGAAGATGCTGCACTCACTTTTCCAGTTCTTTTTCAAGATGTCATTTACCAGGTAATTAGACATATGTAAGCTGTGCGTGTGCTTTTTTGTTTGAATAACTGAACAGTTACTATGCATACTTATGTTCTTGTCTAAAGAGAGAAACATTGTTTGGCATCTATACACAGCTTTCTGGGCTGTATGCTGCAGTTTTGAAATTTTAAAAGGCAGGTCACGGTGCATTAGAAGTGGAATATTGTCTACATGGTAATGTTGATTAGGCATAACAATCTCCTTAATCATTTATACAGTAAATATCCCTTTTCGCAGCAGTCTTCTATTGCAGACTTTCTCCTTACCAGCAGGTGGAGGCAGGAACATTGGAAGTTTAGGCACTGTCATTTCCCAGGTAACAGATGGCCACAAACTCTTAACTTTCTTCCCTGCTTGGGGCAGCCAGTCGATGCTGGTTGATCATTTCTTACTGTGAAAAAGGCTGATTGTCAGAGCCTGACGTTAGCCAGCTTCTGGTCGAGTAGTTAGCTTTGCTACGTCCTTTGCCTATAATGGTTCTACCTCTTCAGGCCCAGCTAGATTCTGCTTGGTGACTTGATTATCTTGTGGAGACTGCCAGATTGCCATTTGTCCTGCTTCAGGAAGTATTGTTAGCTTTAAATGTTTTACGTTGACATACTGTAGAGGAGCAAGCATGGGAAGGAGATCTGTTCCAGCAACTGCCAAAGATGCTGCACTGACCCAGGCTGTTGTTCTCAGGTCCTTTTGTGTGATGTACCTGGGAGTAGCAACAGCTTCCCCTCCATGTAGTTCGCACGATATTGGACCCCTCTGTAGTATCTTTGGAGAATGAGCCAGTCATCAGACACCTTAAAAGGACACTTGTCCAGGTATTTTTCCTAATTTTAAAACTGTTTTTCTTCATTGTTGCATATAAAAACCCTTGAAACTTTGAAGCTGATTTTTTTTTTTTTTTAATGGGTTTCTTATCTCTTATTTGGTGACTGACAAGCTCAGTTTCCTCCTGGATGAGCGGGGAAGGAACCTTCGAGTTAATTCTTTAGAGGTTCTTGCCATTAATGTTAGAAGCAAATAGATTATTAAAACCTATTTTCTCCCTCCCCTCTCTCAGGGGATCTTAATCAGATGTGGTTATTTCCTGGCTAAAACCATGGTCTTCTGGTGGTATGTTTAACTGAGAGTAGCTGTTTGGCAACTAGGATCTGGTTCAAAGGCAGTTGAAATCAATGTAAGGCTATATTACAAGTTTTCTGAATATAACAACATTGTACCTCTTTTTTTATCCAATGAAGTGGTGATGCAGTTTCATAACCCAGGATTTATTTTATATTAGTTGTTTCCTAAGTCTAGAACTATAGCTTCAGAAGATAGATTTGAAAAGGACAGCCAGTGTCTACCTCAAATTTGTCCTTCAGGTTTTCTGGATATCTTTATTTTATTGAGCTGCTTATACATTTGACCTGGCAAGTCAGAAACATCCACCTCTTACAGAAAAGTAGAGCTGGACGGGACCTCAGTCCAACCCCCTGTGTCTGAGGTCCCAGACAGTAAGCAGAAGATGTAAGCTGTCAAGGGTTTAGCTCTAACCAGAAAATATTTAATTAACTAAGGCTGTGAATAAAAAAATGTTATACTCTTCAGACAACCACTGAACGGAAGCTGACTGTTGCATACGGTGTTGGGTCTTCAGTATAGACAGTAGTTATTTCATCTGTTTTTGGAAAGCCTTTCTTCCAGTTCTCAATTTGGTCATCTTGTTGGGATAGGATTTATCTGACTTTCATCTATAGACTCCCTCGTTGTGTTGGCTAGGCTTTCCCTAGTATCTCCTCCTGCTGGCAAGTAGGAAGTAGACACAAAGTGAGCAAAGTAGGAGAATGCAAATTTACTACACATGTATTTTGTCAACTACAGCACAATATAATACCTCAGGTTGTCAGAATGTTTTTCTTTTGGTCTCTGAACATCCAACACCCTCCATTAAACTCTTCCAGAAATACCGTGAAATGATTAATCAAAATATTCTCACACTTTCTTCTATGAATCAAGCCTGACTTGGTGCCGCTTCTGCTACAGAATGACTCCATTCTCTCATATCCGAGCTGAATAATAAGTCTACAGACGATCCCATACCATTACAATATCCCTGGGCACTAGAAGCCCAGGAACCAGTATTTTTGCAGTAGTTGTAGGGGCAGGTGCACAAACATCACACTTTGAAGGATATTCCAGAACTGGCTACCACCGTGTGCTGCAGCAGCAAGGAACTAATTTGCTTAGACTCTACGGGAGCGTCCAGACGAGTGCGCATGTGCAGTTTGCGGTGCTGCAGACCTGTTTGTGGCACTACAAGCTGCACGCCCCACACATGCAGGTGTTCACCGCATTGCTGATTTGCAGCACGGTGGGTTTTCTTGACACTGGGAGATCCTGGTACCAAAAAAAACCCGCACCAGAAAAAGGCGGTGCGGTGCATGTGGTTGCAGTGTATGCCGCCCAAAATCTTGGCCTGGCCAGCCAGAGCCATGCTTCGCTGCTGGCCAGGCTCTGTGCGCCCGGATCACCACTGCTGAAGCTCTGGGAGGCCCCCAGGACCCAGGTAAGGATGCCGGCCCCCCAGCCTCCCCTACCCCACCTGGGGCAACTTGCCACATGCCAGAGCACGCGCAGGGGAGTTCCCGGGGACAACTAGCAACGGAACAAACGTGCCACAGCTGGTTCTCCCCGGGGAAGGTACGTTCCCACTTGTATGGACGCGTCCTAGGTGTCTGATCTTAAATGTGCCTAGAGTTCCACTGACATCTGGAGCAATATGCTTTCCAGCTCGGTGGCTCCGTTCGGCCCATGGTCACGTCAGTAATTATAAGTAACAAAGGGCTGTTTTAAATAAATCTCTCTAAAAGCAGTACGTTTTAAATGCATGTTTGCACCTCAACATTGACAGACAAAAAGAGTTGTTCAGTGGTTTGAGCACAGAACAGTGCTTAGAAAATGTCTACCTTATAATTCCTGGTCTGGCAGAGGCTCTTTGTATCCTGCCTTAGTTTCTGCATCTGTAGAATGGAGATATTAATACTACCCTACTTCAAACAGGTGTTGAGAGGGTTGGTAGGTTTGCAAAATGTTTTCTTCGTTTCAGTTTCCTGAGTACTCATGTTAGGTTGGATTTCTTTAGTTCGAGTTGGCTGTGTTCACTGAGGTGCTTTGAGTAGAAATGTTAAATGAAGTGATCTTAAAAATACTGTGTTGAATGCTACAGTGCATCCATCTGGAGAGCAGGAGTAAACGGGGTAAATCTTTAGCACAAGCCTGTGGGGGCATTGATCTTGTAACCTGGTTAACAGCAGTAAGTTTTGGTTGCCACAGAGCCACCCATCCTAGAAATGAAGTCACCTCACTCCCTCTCCCATCCCAAGGATGCCTCCATCAAAAGGCAGGGTTTTCACTCTGTTCCTGTGCTCAACAGTTTTCTTGCTGATCTTTCTGTTTCTATCAGTACTCTGGCCTTTGTGACTCTTGGAAGATCTAATAAAACTAGTTGATAATAGCTGATCAAAAGATAGTATTTCACATATTTCATCCCACTTTAGCCAAACATAAATGGGCTATGTCCATACTCTTTGAAGTGTGGCAGAGGTACCTGGCATCCAAAACTCTCGAGGAAGAGGCAATTATCTTTTCTTAGACCAACTAGATAGTGAGGAAGAGGCGATATCTTGCTTCCCTTTCTGGTGAAAGTCTTGCCTGCCGGCTCCTCTAAAAGAGCAGCAAAACCAGGAGCCTTTCAGTCAGTTGTCTCGGTCTTTGTCTATGATGGGCATCCACTAAGAGGTCAGGAAGCAGAGAGGTCGATCTTCACTTGTCTCCGTGGACTCCCCTGTGAATTAGGACCCGTCTGTTTCTGTCACTGTGGCGGTGTCAAACCTGAGATGACTCCAGGTTATTTACCTTGCAAGTCCAGGGCTGCCGCTGTCCACTGGGCTGCCGCTCTCAGCATTTCCTTACCAAACTTCAGAGCAAAGGCGATTTCTTTCAGTAGGAAATATTCAGCTGAAGTTCAGCTGACACTGGATGTTCTTATTGGTATTTAACCTGATCGCGTTGATAGGACAAATCTAGCTCTGTATATAGCCAGGTTTCTGCTACATATGTTTGTCATGGTCTGTTTTCCAGGCAACTAAATAGATACAAATATGGAAATGAGAGAGAAAATGAAGAAGAGAGTAAGTGGTTTGCTCTGTGTTCTGGCTAATTATAGAATTTTATTCAGGACAGGTTCCAGTATTTACGAACTTGCAGGATATTTTCTCTTACTCTTGTTATTTGTAATAACTCTCTACAACTTTTTTTCTACTGAAATCCACGTCCTTACCAGTTTTCTGCAAATCTTGTGCGCGCGTAATTGTTGCTGTTCTGTTGCTATCTTTGCTTTTTCTGTTACCAAAAATGACAGGAAGGCTTTGTGGGAGGATTGTAAAGTATTTTGGTGGGGTAAGTGGATTTACACAGTTACATGACTTAGATACAGGAAAAGGGCATGATATTAGTCCCTTTTTTGCCATTACTGGCTCCATTAGCTTATTAAAAGCACGTCCTGTTCTTTAGAGAGAAATGTTAAGGATGTAACGATAACTAGGTAATAGTCTCTTTTTTCTGTATACACTTAAAATGTACTGGATATTGGTATTTCACAATGTCTGCTCTTTCCATCCTTTTTCCGTTTGGAGTTTTGTAAAAGAGTATTTGTGTCTCAAAAAACGTAGTGTATTCGTTCTATAAGTCCCCATAAAATATTTTCTTGAGTTCTGTAAGTTTTTTCAGTTGATTTATTTTCTTTAGGGTGATTTGTTTCAAATGGTTTTGTCAGGTAAAATAGATGTTTCATACATGCTTTTTTCCAAATTTGAGAAAAAGTTTAGACTAGACATATGGAAAAACTTCTTTTCCATATGGGTAACCAAAATCTGGAACACACTCCCAGCAGAGGTGGGGCAGTCGCCATCGCTGGCGGTGTTCAAGAGGAGGCTGGACAAGCACCTTGTTGAGCTCGTTTGAGCCAATGACCTTGCCCATGGCAGGGGACTAGACTTGATGATCTTACAGGTCCCTCTCGGTCCTTCTTTCTATGATTCTATTAAATGAATCATTTGATGACATTTTCAATTTCATTTGAATATAGTTTTTTCCCTTAACCAGGAGTATCAAGTCTGACATTTGGTTTGAAAACTTCTAATATAAATTGTCCAAAATTTGGTCTGCTCACGAGTCGTAAGTTATGGCTCTAGCTGGAGGAGTACAAAGTCGCTACGCTGCTCTTTTTCACAGAAACGTTTTTTCCATAATTATCTAAGTAATGGGTTAACATAGACTCTTCATACTTCCTATGTAGTTGAAACTCATTGCAACCTTGTGCGTATGTTACAGGTCAGCCTTTTTTTAGGACTAGTGGTATTTTTTTCTGCTTTCTTGACAGACCACACAAAGATTGAAGAATAATATTCTACAGCAAAGACTTCCATGCGAAGTAGTTCTCTTTCAAAATTGCTGCCTTCTGCCATTGTTCTCACTGAGACTGCCCGTTCTCTTCTTACGCACAACCCCTCGGTGCACTTTGATGGAGTATTTGGAGACGATGGCCGTTTTGAAAGAGCTTTTAAATTGAGCACAGTGGCTGTTTTGAAAGCGTGCGATTCATTTGAGCCTCTCTAAAGTAGAGGATGTCATGCACCAGCCTCTGTTAACAAATACACTAATGAAAAATAATGGCAGAGATTACTTTCAGCCATAAACGTTTCTTTCTCAAACTCAGCTGTTACATCAGACCTTCTCAGAGAGGGCAGGAGTCAAAGGGGAAACTAGATATTGTGTGTGTGTGTGTGTGTGTGTGTGTGTGTGCATACACAAAGAAAGGAAGTGGTATGGAAAGAGGCTGAAGGTGGTGCGATGGGAGAGCAAATGTACACACACGTTTCTGTGTTTTGGGAATCTTGAAGCAGGAAAGAGGGAGAATCTGAGATGTTAGCAGGAGCATGGAAAAGGCAGGGAGGAGGAGAATGATGGGCTGTGTATAGAAGGATATCGTGGGGGTACAAAAGGTAGGGGCAGGTGTAAGGCACGGAAAAGGAGAGACTAGACTGTGCAATCCATCTTTTTTGCTCTGTTCTGATAGGAGTTCCAGACAAAATCATCTCAACTGGCCCTTATGCTGTGACCACTTTATCCTGTACCAGGGTAGTGCAAAGCAGTAGCAACACATCAGCGACTCTGACCAAAACTCGATAGAAACAGCAGTTGCTAACCTTCTCTTTGGATTTCTTGTTCAGTGTTTATATGTGAAATGTTAATCGAATAAACCAAGAAAATACTTGTATAAAATCTACGTTTTACACCAGTACTTTTTCCCGCCATGGCAGGGGGTCGGACTTGATGATCTGTCACGGTCCCTTCTGACCCTACAACTATGAATCTATGAAACTATGTTAATGTTAAGATAAAGTTAAGCGTACATATAGGAGTAACTTTGTGGTAACACATAAGGCTGTTGCAGTTATCTCAAATCCAAGCAAGTTGACAATTAAAAGAAATCCAAAGCCATGAAAGCATGGAAATGAATACTTGAGTCACCCAGACAACCTAAACACTTACCTGACAGTAGACTGGAGAAAATTATAATATGTTTTAATCTGCTTAATCTGGGTTCACAATCACTAGAAAGCCTTAATCATAAATTTAATGATATGGTCATTGTAATCACCATAGAGCAGAATTAGGGTTGTTTGGGGTGCTCTGGCAGCATTTTCATGCAATTTGAATTTCCTGTATGTTTAGCTGAATGCCCTTGTTTTAAAACTCTTGGGTCTCATATAAACAAAACACCCTGTAATGTATTGGTTACCATTTTTAGGATAAGTGAAAGAGCAGCAACTAAGCTAGACGTGTGTGTAGAAATATACAATCTTCGTTTTACTAGATCAGTAATTAATGAAGTTTCTTGCTTGTCATGGCTGGCTTCTAGTGCAGGCATGGGCATTATCCTATATTCGACTGGAGATCGTTTTCTTCTTGGTAGGCACTCCTGGAGCACTGGCAGATGCGTTGCAGCTTTGCCAGGAGAGTTTTGTAGCTGAGGGCTTGAGATGGTGACTGCATTATCTGAAATAATACATAAGCTGTCTCTACTACAGAGAAAAGGCTTGTTGCTGGCTACGACTTGAAGCCAAAGCCCACAAAGAAGCCTTAGATCCAGACAGTGCCATTCCTGTCCCTTCAGTGTTAACAACTTATGGGGATCATTAACAACTTCCCTTATCAGCTTTTTATTGTAAGAAATCAAGATGAAAGTCCCAGCAAAATGAGTATTTACCTAGGAAGGACTAATCCTGTAGGCCAGAGGTGCGGACTCATCTGGGCCCACATGCAGCACACGCCTGTGCCAACCCCCAGGTCATGAGCAGTGCCCGTGGTGCTGGGTGTAGCCCACATGCCACCGGCAGCACAAGACCCGGAGCAGGGCCAGCACAGGACACATGCTGCATGCGGCATCTCACTGGATCACCCCTTTTGCCACAGCACCGGGTCCAGCCCACGAGACCGGCTCCGCATGCCATAGACGGTGCACGGCTGGTCTGAGCCATGAGCCAGATCACGCAGCTCCACAGGCTGGATTCAGCCCAGACACCCCTGCTTTAGGCAACCACAAAGAAAATCCTCTTGTAGTGCACACCACTTTCCTTCTGAGAGGAACGGTTAGACAACAGAGGTCATGCAGATCTTAGTGGAAAAAAACAATTAAAACATGTATAATTAGCAGTATAAATGATGCTCAGGAACTGCCTTCCCAACAAACTACAGGATTCACACTCAGAAAGATGCCAGCTTTACTGGTTGAACGGTCCCATTGAAGATAAACGATTCAAAACGAATATGTTTAAATCTGTCGGTAGCAACAGGTGACTTGAGTGCCACTTAATACCTCACTGCATGCAGGCTGTGAACTGTGCAGCTACGTAAGTAAAGACGAAGGAGCACATGTCTTGTGGAAGACGGGTTCGGTACCTGTCACGTTATGCTTTTCACAAAGAGTCTAGTGATGGCAGGTGATCTGTGGTAAGAAGACGTACTTGTCAACTGCATGTTCGACAGTTGGCTTTCCAGTGATGTCTTGGCTAGCTCCAGTGCAGAAACCTACCAAGCACAGGCGGCAAGCTCCCGGAATCGAACTTCAAAGCCAACTTGAAGCATCATTTCTTAGCATCTCAGGGATGGGTCTGCCAGAATGAAAAAGGCAATGGGTAGCATCTGTACAGTCGCACATCTCATCTCTTGGAGACAGTGGCCCTACTCGAGATGCGACAGGCTTGTACACATTTCACTCCTGATCTCTGAACACACATAGCTACCTGGGCTGATGGCTACCTAGTGATTGGTGTCACCGTACAAACCTGGATAGACAGAACTAGCGAGAGCTCCCTTTTCTCGGCTGCAGTTAAAGTAGACATCAGCTGGATAAACAAGGGATCGTAGCTGTCCAAGACAACTAACTCCATATAAGCATGGTAAGAATTACAAGACTTTAAATAACAAAACCAAGCCTAAGCTTTTTTACTCAAGTTTAAGTCTTCGGTTGCCAAGAAATGTATGCTTCCATTAGAGGACTGGGAGCCGCCGTGGTGTGCTGTCGAGAATATTGAGCGTCCCTCTTCCTTCCTTGTGATTGTTCAGGCTTTGTCTGATCGTGAACTCCACAAGTTTAGTTGAATCAGTGCAAACCTCTGGGTGGACACTTTTGCCTCAGTTTAAAAGTAAAGTACAGTACTAAGTTTTAACTTAATCTGTTCCTGATTTGGTTGTTAATTAAATTAAATTTAGTCAACCAAAATAAAGAATTCCCAGATTGCTTTTTTGTAGTGTTTTAATGCAATCTATTTAAAGCAACACCCTTCCGTGAACAAGAACGACTTTGCACACAGCTAGGTCAGTTGATAAAGAAGGTAAGCAGAGGGTGTGATCATCCTTCTAACCTGTTGTTGGCCTCAGTGAGCCTGGGGTCTGGTCTTCACACCTACTCATCTGTACTCCAGCCTTCCTTTTTCCACTGAAACTCCAACATCACAAGGTCAGTGGTGTATAGGACCTCTCTGAAATGCTGCCCTGTGTCTAGGAGTCTCTTCTCTGGATTCAATTCTAGATCTTCAGGGGTCAAGATGCTGCACTTGAGGTTATAATGGGTATTAACATCAGTGAGATCTTTTTTTGCCTGTGTTCTGAGATAAACTGCAGACTCCTAAACCTCAAACTATACATTTCTCCTTAGGTTTCAGTTGGATCCTGTGGATATCGTTTCTCTCTTTCAAATGGTGGTCTGTGTCAATGAGATGGTAGGGCAGAGCAGCTCTTCCAGTTTGACCCCGTTCTTATTTCAGAATGCATACAGGTCTTTGTCAGCCAGTGACACCTGAATTAATGGCGTTTCGGCAAATGGCCAGGCCACTTCCTTCCCTCCTTCTGATCCCTACAGAACAAGTGCAACACGTAGCCAGACACTGACAGACACTAGCTTGCAACTGGATGGGGCAGCCGGACTGGTGCAACCTGCAGTAGATTAGTTGGATCAAAATTGAAAAATTCAGTGTTTAGTTAAAAAATGATCTGGTTCCCATTTTTTAATTTAAGAGCTTTCTGTCTGGATCCAGTTTTCCAGTGAAATCAGTTACAAGAGGACTTTACCATTTTACATATAGAGATGTTACTGATGTCACTTGCAAAGTATTTTAAATATTCGTCATAACTCAAATATTACTCTGTCCTTATTATTCATGGTATTCAGAATGAACATGTTATTTAATAATCTGTGCAGACTGTCTTAGTTAAACTGTCCCTTCTGAACCACTGCATATTTTGAACCTTTAAATATTTATTTAAGTCCATCTTTGCTTTAGGTTTACGTGCGGTTAAGGCCATTCTTCAGAGAATTTCTGGAACGTATGTCTCAGATTTATGAGGTAACGATACTTAGATATCTCCCTTAAATTTCTTCTTGTATTATATACACACATATTTATATCTTGAAAAATAATTACTTTCTTCTTTACTTTATAGATCATTCTTTTTACTGCTTCTAAGAAGGTATATGCAGACAAGTTATTGAACATACTTGACCCTAAAAAGCAACTGGTCAGGTAAACTTGATTAAAAACTATTGGAACTATCTATATTTAGGCTAAGCAGTTTATATTTCATATTGAATCTGGAGATATTCCTCTTATCTTTTTAAAAAGGTCCTTCCATGGAGATCCACTACGATGGTATTCACCTTGCCAGTGCCCACCTTCTCCTTCAGTTAACATTTGTAAAAATAATCCCTTAGGCCGCATCCAGACGAGCGTGGATGTTTGTTTCTCCAGCACACCTCGAGCGCCTGCTGCGTGTCCCCAGGGAACGCCTGTGCCACACGCGCTCGGACGTGCTGGGGGGTAGCGGGGCTGGGGCCAGCAAGGTAGCCGCCCGGGGAACGCCTGGATGTGCGGTGTGTGGCACCGCAGACCGGTCTCTGGTGCCACATACCGCGCGGCCGCGCTCGGCTGGATGCGGCCCTAGATTTGTTCAGGAAACATAAACAGATGCTTTTAGATGCATGCGCCTGTCGTTTTTAATCAACGTTTAAGTTTGTTTTGATGACAGTCTCTAAGAATCTTAATGTGCATACCGTATGCAGGAATGATAAATGTCAGTGCAATCTTTTCCACAAATCTGCAGGAGACGATGTGGTTACTCACTTTTAATCACTTATGTAATCTTTCAGTGAATTAATGGGACAGAAACACCATTTTAAACAACTTTTCTGGCATGTGTTTTTGTCAAGCTAATAGAAATATTTGCTCGTCCTCATAGAGGAGACCTTAAACTCTGCAAGGAACAGTGCCGTACTGTCAAGGCAAAGGAAAGCTGACAGCATAGACCAGAGTTTCCAAGTTAGGAATGCACAATTGTGTGAATATATCTGTTGGTGTCTGCTGTAAATGCAGACACAGGAGAAGTGTGCACAAAAAGATACTTGCATGTATACAAAACAAGAATAACAGTGCACTCCTAACATTGATCTTCTCTAGCTCAAATATTTGTGAGTCAGGAGCATAACTGTAAGGTTTGTTTGTGGAACAGGGTAGATATAATGACATGGGGGTGCAGCCGGCCTGTATTCTAAGAGCCTGAGAGTGGATTCATGTGATTCATGAATTCACTTATGATTCGTGTGCCACCAAAAAGCTGATACGAAGGCATGATTCGTTTTGATATTATCCTAAAGATAAACATATTGGGCACGCCACACATATGACTCAGAATCTAAATATAAAATCGTTTGTCACCAAGCCATCCGTTTAGTTTCCTCCAGAGCAACAGCAAAAACGCTGCCCCTTTGTGAAATGAAACATTTAAACAATTTCACAATTAAGCATGCAGCTTTTAAAAACGTTTACTTAAGAATCAATTTCTTCCATCCTTTGAAACACCCTCGCAGTATCTGCATCTCCATGAGAACATTTAAAACTCAGATCCGTTTAGGCTGTAACATCATTTTAGCGTGACTTCTATTGGGAAAAATCAATTCATGCTCTAGTTGACATGCTAATGAAGCTTTGGCTGTATTTTAATATTGTTTTAATCAAACTGAATAATTTTATTCTATCCAAATGTTTCTTCTTCTTATATGCTCACTCTCCATAATATATTAAAGGGAAGCAGGTTAATTGGAAAAAAGGCAGCTGATGGGATAATTTGGCCTTGCGGCTTTTTTCTGAAGCTGTAATACTTAAAATAGGTTAATTGGCAACACAGGTAACATCCATTTAACATTCCTTCTGTTCTGGCTTGTACGGGCGAGGGGAGCGGCATGCTGTGCTGGCTAGAGCACAGAACCGGACGCCAGGAGCTGCCGGTGAGGGCTAACCGCGGACTTTGGGAAGTCACTGAGCTCCGTGTGCGCCTCTGTGAACCCAGATGGAAAAGTAGTAAAAAGTAGGAGCCTCCTGACAACCAGATGCTGCATCTGAGCATAGCTTTCCTAGCTATGGGAAAAGAATTGTTTTGACCCCTTTTTAACATTTTAAGCATTACATTCTCAGATGAACACATCCAAGTATTACTACGACTCCAAGAGAAAGTTTTGTAAGATTGGCCTAACTGCTAAGTGTTTTGATAGCATAAAAATAGCCCAAAAGAGAGCACCTGTTGACAAAATGGGCTGTTTTAAAGGAAACCTAAGTGTGCAAGAAGGAAAAATTAAGACTGATTTGCACAACACTGAACAACATCTGCTTTTCTCCGTGCAAAGTATTATTTTAAAACTATACAAATTTTTTTTTCCCTTTAACGTAGGCATCGACTTTTCCGTGAGCATTGTGTTTGTGTACAAGGAAACTACATAAAGGATTTAAATATTCTTGGTAGAGATCTTTCAAAAACTATCATAATAGACAATTCACCACAAGCCTTTGCCTATCAGGTAAGCTTTTTGCAGTAGCCAAGCCTTTTATATTTGGGAAAAGCCTTCTCTGAAGAAACAGATGGTCAGATTAACAAAACCTGCTAATTTAACTTGTAAATTAAGAAAACGATAGGTATAAACATGCGCAACATGCCCTGGTGCTATTTGCCACATTGTGAATGTTTTTCTAGCTTTTCTTAATCATTTCGTTCCAGAAAATCGTAGAAATTTCAGTCTGTTAATCCGTGTCCTGGGCTGAATTCACAAACTACAACTTTCAGCGTTAGTAGAATGGTTTTGAACAAACTTTTGGCTGACATGAGATGCATCATTTTCAAATGTTTATAGTAGAGATGTTCAGGTTATTCCCCAGGATTTCGGGATGCTATTTGGTGCCTGGACTAATCGCACAGAACATCGCCGTTACATAGATGTGGAGATGTGCAGGCATTAATCTCGGACGTCCTGTCTGTAATACAAGATATAACTGGTGTTGGCAGCCAATCTCTCTCAACTCTTTTCAGCACTAGTTCAAAAGCTAGTGATGACAGTTTTGTCCTGCCTGTGTTTTTACCCTTAATTCAGGGGATCTACCGCTGACAACTGATGTCAGTAGGATTCAGTTTCACAGAGTAAGTGGGATTTACGAATCAAGGTCCTGATCCAACTTATCCTGACAGACATCTGTGGAAGGAAAGAAATTTCACAGATTTCAAAAGGGATTGGATCTGGACTCCAAATAAATGCATAACTCTGCTGTCCGAGACAAGCCCTGGATTTCATGTCTCTGGTCCGGTGGCAGCGTTCTTGTTTGCCATGCGGGAGACTTGGGTTCGGTTCCTGGACACGGATATATTCCCTGGGACAGGCAGGGGGTTGGACTAGACAGCCTCTGGAGCTCCCTCCAGCTCTGTGACTCCGGTAACTCAGTCATCTGTGACGACTTGAATACCTGGTTCAAGTAGCAACACTCAGGTGTGCAGCTAGAAACTGCCGTTTAGGCGCACAGAGGGGATCGAATTTCTGGGGAAATCTGTAGGCACCTCTGCTTTGGCCAGAGAAGTTACTTAAGCACTTGAAGTCCTGGTACTGCGCGTACCCAGACTACTGCTTGGCTGAACTGAGTGTTTCGCTGTGTATCTGATATCTCTAGGATTCACAGTGCGTATCCCTGCACTGAAGTCTGCTGTGTGGCCTGATCCAGTTGGCACGCTTAGGGAGCACCTCTCGCACACCAGCAGCATGGGGTTCTGCCACTAGTATAGCAGCTGTGCTTTGTGCTTTCAGAAATATGGCATCCCCCTGTTACCTAACTGTCTCCTGGGTACAGTACTTAACCGGGAAGGTGGGAGATCTGGTTCCTAGGCCCGATTCTGCCTGAGGATGAACCTAGATCTCCTAGAAAAGTGCCCTAAGCACCAAGCTGTAGGGGAGGCTGACTGCATTCATCACCTGTCCTGTGGATCTGTACCCCTGCGCCTAAAGAAGGAAAGGTTCCTGGGACAGGAAAGTGAACACACAAGGAAGCATGACTCCCCAACTCGGTGATTATTTGAGAGCCTTGGGTTAGAGCCTGTGCTGCCAGTATTGTTGGTATATTTTTATCCGGTGACTAGTAATGCAAAAGTAATCCCCACGCCCTGCATAGAGGACTCAGGCACTCAACTGTCCCATGTCCAAGTGCCCTTTTAGATCTGGGCACAACTACAGACTTATTTCCTTCGTAGTTTATCTTTTAACCCAGCCTTACCTAGCCACAGTATGAGAAGTAGTGTGATTGGATCCTAAATATTGTGAATTAAAAGGGTAGCTGTTGCTCTTCAGACTAGTCTAGTTGGTTTTGAATAATTTTTGTTCAATTTGATTCAAATTCAGTAAGCAATTGCCAAAATACAGATTTTTATCACGTTTGTGTCTCATTCATGGAAGTGGAAAAGGAAAGCAGTGGTTAGACTTGGGGTCGCTGCAGTTGGCAGTGGTTTTAGGAAGATGTAGTGCTTGGACGTAGATTTTTCTGAATACTTCTGTGCCTTTCAGTCCAGGAGAATTAATTGCAGATTTAGACTAGCCTTCTTTATAAACTTGAAGGAAATGATTTGCAGGTAGATTTTAAAATACATTTTAGAGTAAGCATACCATATTTTCTTACGTACAACACGCATCTTTCCCCCCAAAAACCAGTGGCTGGAAATGAGTGTGTGCATTGGCTGTGGGAAACACAGTAAGAGCAGGTTCTCCCACTTACTGGTGAAACTGGAAGTCAAATCTGCAGGAATCCCCAGGGAGCAGAACCAGGAGGCTCTGCTTCATGCCTGCTGCTAGTCAGGTCCCACAAGGAGAGAGCTTGTATTTCTCATTGTGCCCTTTGAAAACGAGGTATGGCAGGGCATGCTGTCCTGCGCATCAGAGAGCACGGGGCGCAGTGATAGGCTCTGCTTTGCATAAAGAGTGCCAGAGCTCCAGTCATCTTTTTCAAGACATTAAGCGATTAAAATGAACAACATATCTGTAATTTTACTTTAGCTTTCAAATGGAATTCCTATAGAGAGCTGGTTCATGGATAAAAATGACAATGAACTCCTAAAATTGATTCCTTTTCTGGAGAAACTTGTAGAGCTGGTGAGTATTTCATTTATTCACCTTTTTTCAAATGCATTCTAGGTAACATTTTCACAAGTGCCTAAGTGATTTAAGATGCCAACTGACCGGGATGCTAACTCACTTAGGCTCTCATACCAGTTCTGTCACTGACTGTCTGCGGGGCCTGTCCGTGACTGTCTCCTCTTCTGTGCAATGGGGATAAGTTACCTCACAGATTTGTGGCGAAAGTTAATTAATGTCAGACTCAAAATATAAATCCCTGTGTAAGTGTTACTATTTTATACTCCCCCCTTTTTGCATATTGGCCACTTACAGTCTGCATGGTAACGTGAGCTCATTGTGTTAAAACCTGTCGTTTTATTCTCCTCTCCAGAATGAAGATGTCCGACCTCACATCAGAGACAGATTTCGCTTGCATGACTTGCTACCCCCAGACTAAAGCCTTTTGTCAAGTTGCTGAAGGGGGAGAAAATGCAGGACCCTTTTGGACTAAAACAAAAAACATTGCCATTACTGTTGAAATTTTGCATTTTTGTACCCCGTCTTGCTTTTCTTATCTTTGGTGCCCAACAGTAATCAAGGGTTACAGAAAGAGACTTTATATATCTGAGGTCGAATACATAACAGTACAATACAGTAGGTAGGCTAGAACAGAAAAGTCTTTAGAACTAGTGCGACTCCAACGAAATTTTTTTTATGTACAGGACATCTGCAGTTTATAAAGAATTCTGTTTCTGCCACCAGCAGTTTGACCTGTAGAAACACAGGATTTTATGATATAGCAGAGATTGAAAATGGACTCTAGTTTTCTCTCTGTTTGGTGCTCTAAGTGGGTTTGTAGCCACTTTTCTGTTACTTTAAGATTCTCATTTCAACAGGAATGGCCAGTAAAAGTTGTTTTATTTTCCTGTTAAGGTTTATAACCTTTTTACATTTTTGACCTGTATTAGATTTAGCATTTCATTATGCATTCCTTTTAGTTGAGGCGCTTCATAGTTTTTTCTGGAAATAGCCAAATTTTATTAGGTTTTTTTTTATTATCCAGTTGAATGGCGGTTTCCCTGCTTTGTCTGCCTGCACACTGTATATTTGTTTAAAAATATTCTCTAGTTTTAGTCCATGTAAGTTTCATTTAGAAAAACCTGCATTTATATTTTGTTTCTGTAATATTCTACTGTAGTTGAAATCTTTTCAAAAATCAAGAGACTGGCTAGATAAGAAAAAATATAAAAATTACTAATATTCAGAATATTTAAACCATTGTGATGGCATGTACTCTGGAAAGACGATACCTTGCAGTGGCACACACAGCTGATGGACAAGGAATACCTCAGACCATACTGTGCATGCAAATCTTGAAGGAGAATTGGTTTGGTCATCTGCTGGGTTTGATGCAGTTTCAAATACCGCTGCCTTCACTTTCCTCCAAGAATGAAGTATTCTGCACAGTTGCTCAGTATTTTAAGATGTTTTGCATGGGCTGACGGTGCCTCTGCTACACTGCTCGTTACAATCAGTTTCAAACTCCGTGTAGCAGCGTAGGTACCCGACAGTAACTATGCACGATCCTGTGGTACAGCACACTCCCATGCCACCCATGCAGTTCATATGCTATCATAGTGGTTTTCTATGCTATATAGAAATAGTCTTCAAGCCTTGGTTCTCTAATGCAGCTACCGCAAGAGGTTGATATTTTTATAATGGTGTGTAATCTCCTTTTCAGGAGGCTTTTTATGGAAGGTATAATTTGTAAAAGTTAGGATGCTTTGCCTCTCGACTGCATTAACATGCCACAGGCTCGGACTGTTTTTGTGTAAAAGATGTCACAGAACGGCACTTTTTCTAAAGAGAAGTTTGATATTTTGTATGCTTGTTAAGAAAGTACAGTATTGGAAATTAAAGGTGGACAACTGATAATTGAGAAGTATGTCAATTAATTTTTTATGTATATTACCTGTTTACTTGTACAATTTTATTGTACAAATTACATGCAGCTTCATTTTCAAATGAGTCCTTAAAATAAGGAAAAATCTTTTTAGGAAAACATTTAATTTTTGTATTTTTGATTTTAAAAGGCATGAGTTATGTCAACTTTTTCCAGTGTATTAATGAAGATTTTAACTTTTCATCAGGTTGAGTGTTTTCTTACTATATTATCTGTTGTGTATGTAGCTAGCACATTGTGTCACTGAACTGTTAAAAAATAGCATGTAGAGCAAGCCTGTTTCGTGGAAAATCCTTATTCATTAAAAAAAAAATCATCATGGCAGATTTTCTGCAAAAAAGTGAAAGCATTTGCAATTCAGAATACTGATTTTTTTTGTATTTAAAGAAAGGTATTTTGCTTGCAGGAAAGAAATAATACTACAGATTCATTTTAATGAGAATCTTTTAAATGTATTTATCTTTAGGGCATCTGGGCATCTTTACGCTGTTTGTCTTATGTCTTTATTGAAATAAAATGTACATAACATTACCTTTATATATGCTTTTGCGCAGACGTGTGAGCGCTGTAACCATCCCTGTTCCCTCCTGTTTTTTGTTAATGGGATCTGAAAATATTTATATATTTGAAAATGGCAAGCTTGTACTTGAGTTGCTATGAGGTTATCCAACAATTTTTAAATTAATTTTTTAAAATCTCAAACACAAATTAAGAGAGATTTTTTTAATGTAGTTTAACAATGAATCCCTGTTTAGAGTGGAATTTCTTCCAAATTGCTATAAATAATATATTGTAAAATATAAGGATTTTTTTTAATTCACTGCTAAATCTAACATAATGGAACTGGTTTGAATAAATAATTCATGGACATTCTCTATGATTCAAGATGGCGGCAGACAATTGCCATCCATTCGAATAGTTTCCCTAAGTGTTTGCATTCTAATTTATGACATTTTTGAGTAAAACCATTACAAAATTGTTCTTTTTATTTAAGCCAAAGCATGCATTGCATTTTACAGACCTATCTGTGATTTCATATCACTGAGGAAAATTAGAATGTGATATTTTACAGTCTGGCTTCTAGTAAACGTAGGGAAAATGGGTGATTTAGTACTACCTAGATGCACAACAAAAATAATCTATACAGACTGCTCTGTAATACATATTAAATATTGATATTTTACTGTGCTGCGTCTGATCTTTATAATTTTGATTGTTTTTTGCAGAGAGAATTACATTTTTTAATTTGTTTATAATGTCAAACATTTCTTTTCTAAATAATCTTTTATCTAGTCAGACTTTTTTGTTTCCTGTTTTTTATTTTACTGGATTCAAGGGGTGGAATAACAAGGCTTAAGTGCTACTCTGAATTGAGACTGTCATACCTAGTTAATAGGTTTGACCCGGGATGTCAGATTTATCCAGGCCCCCACCCGGATCCGGACCGCAGGGCTGCTTACGGCCCAGATGCACACGCAGCCCATGGACCATGTATATGACACCCGTGGCTAGGCCAGTCATTTATTCTATGACAACCAAAACTGACAATGACACCGGGGGATAGAGGGACATTCAGTTTGGGCCCTCTTAATATTACCTCGGTGTTAAACAAATTAACTTTATAGCTGTATCACTTATTCAAATTTAAAATGTTTAGATCATCTTTATGCACATTACACATGTAGACCTAGTACAGGCTGGGGGTGACGGGCTGGGCAGCAGCTCTGCAGAAAAGGACCTGGGGGTGACAGGGGACAAGAAGCTGGACAGGAGCCAGCAGCGTGCCCTCGTTGCCAAGAAGGCTACCAGCACCCTGGGCTGCATTGGTAGGAGCGGTGCCAGCAGATGGAGGGCAGTGATTCTTCCCCTCTATTCAGCGCTGGGGAGGCCACATCTGGAGTCCTGTGTCCAGCTGTGGGCCCCCCAGTGTAGAAAGAATGTGGACACATTGGAGGGAGTCCAGCGGAGGGCAACAAAAATGGCTGTGGGGCTGGGGGACAGGACTGGTGAGGAGAGGCTGGGGGAAATGGGCTGGTTTAATCTGCAGAAGAGAAGACCGAGGGGGATTGAATAGCAGCCTTCACCTCCCTGCAGGGGGTTGCAAAGAGGATGGAGCTGGACTGTTCTCCATGGGGGGCAGATGACAGAACAAGGAGCAATGGGCTCAAGCTGCAGCAAGGGAAGTTGAGGTTAAATATGAGGAAGAACTTTCTCATGAGGAGGGTAGTAAAGCACTGGAACAGGTTACCCAGTGCGGTGGTGCAGTCTCCATCGTTGGAGATTTTTAAAACCCAGGTAGACAAAGCCTTGACTGGGATGATGTAGTTGGGGCTGGTCCTGTTCAGAACGGGTTGGACTAGATGTGACCTTGTGAGGTCCCTTCAACCCTTGTTTTCTATGGTTCTAGTCCCAAAGTAAAATCTTGGTGATTTCATTTGCAGCTTTGAATTAGATTTATAGCAGTAGTTTATTTACAGCTTTCACTAAAACAGTATGATAAAATAAAGAGTATTTAACATTTACAATTTTTAGTAAAAGCATAAAATAAGATTATCCATTCTACCAGCCTACACCAAAAGTAAAACAGCATGGTATATGATGATGGTGATACAAAAAATAAACTCAAGCAGTGGACAAGAAAACAGGAATCCTATTTGATTTTGGCCCTTATTCTTTGTGCAAGTCATGCAAATACATCTAAGGAGTATAGGACAGGTTACTAACTACTTGAATTGGATTTGTAATCCTTTTACATACTCTATAGATGTTCTATTCTAGGTTTGATTGTTCTTGCTTGCAACAGCAGAACTGGGAAGAATTTTTATAGCTGGAAATATCTCACATACTTTTCGAGTAGTGCTTATACAGAAGGGTATCTGCCTCACTTTTAATCTTTTGTTGGCAGTTTGCATTCAGTGGTTTCACCTTGTAGCTACAAGGAACAGGTACTCAAGCACTTCTGAAGGTCTGAATTCATGTGAACTGTGATCAGACATCCGCCAAAGACGTGATCCTATCACAGTCCTTTACCGTCAACCAAATGTGCTAAGGATGCTCACTTCTCGGAGTCTGCAAGTCGGCAAAGCTCTAAGTAAGCGACTAATCACTGAAACATCAAATTTGTTCGGGGTCTGACAAACATGCCGGAAGAAAGCATTGCTCCCATGGTCAGCCTGCATCCATGTCGCTTTATTTTTCATTCTGGTCCCAGCCTTCCTTGTAGCTTTGTATTGCTAATCACACTCTTTTACTGTTCTTTCTCTAAGCCCTTTTTATTTTGGTGAACTCCATTTGGTTATTGTAATTGCATCTCCCCAGCACTGCTCAGTTCCCCACAGGCAGAGGCAGGGAGCGGGAGCCGACGGGGTGTGCACTGTGAGGGCAGCAACAGGACTGAGGGGATGGGGAAGCTCTCAGCCCCCAGGCCGGCATTGTGGGGAGAGAGAGCTTCCCCCATCGCTTCAGCAAGGGGAGATGCTGCTCAGCCACGGGGCATCTCCCCAAGCCAGTGCTACTGAGTCAGGCTGTGATCCCAAGCTCCATGTGGCTGGGAGCTGTCCCCCACCCTGGGACAACTCCCCGGAGGCCAGGCCTGGCACCGGGGGAGCCTGGAGCTCCCCCTGGTTACTCTAGGGGGGTAGAGCAGAGCAGGAGCAGCCCTGGACTCAAATGCTCCCATTTGGAGCAAATTTGCTCTTGATGTGGGTGCACATGTTCTTGGGTGCAGTTTAACCTTACGGTGCATTAATTGCACATGTAGACGCGCCCAATGTAACGTAACTTTGAGATCTTAAGGATTACAGTAATCCTGGCATGGGGCAGCACGCTGCTCCGTTTCATCCCTCCATTCATGCAAAGCACTCCTACATCCAGTCAATAGCAGATCTTGCCTTCTGGCCTCCGGGTGGAATAGTTGCAGCTAGGTTAGGTGATGTGGTTGTAGCATACTTATGCCTTGGTGATGTGTGCTGCTGCAGCTCTTCTGACCTGTGTCTGAGGACTGGGCCTAACAGTGAGGAGGCCCACCCTTCACTTTGTGCCATATTCCTCACAAGCAAACGGGGCACTGTCTCGTAATCCCTGTTATAGAAGTTGGTCCTTGTTTAATGGGTTTTTTCATATAACATTATTTTCCAAATTATTGTAATACAGAATAGTTGATCGAACTCTCGTACGTAATGAGACAGAAGCCAAACACTAACAATCCTGCTACCAATTAAAAGACAAGTGACTAGCTACTTGTTGCTTTCCTGTATCTGTTCAGAGTGACAAGGTGTGCTCCTGCGTTCCCATCATGCCTCTAATTATAACTAAGACTTTGAAAGCTGTATTATCTGCCTAGCGCAGAGATTGCGTATATGTTTGTAGCAGAGGGAAGAGTCATCCACCTATTCTAAAATCAATGCTGGGTATATGAAAACAATCACCCCCTTAACACTTCTTTAGCTAATTAACAAAGACGAGCTCAGAGGTGGATTATTGAAGGAGCTTTGGATCTTGACCCCATGCTCAACTAGGCTCCGAACAGCAAGTGAAGCAGAGGAGCAGCGAGCTGATTGCTCTTGGCCAACTACCTTCCAAGCTGGCTCCATTTCCTGCAGTAGAAGACGACAGACAAATATCTGTCTAGAGGAGAAGCATGTCAAAGCTTATTTAGTTCTCCAGAGGGAGGAGAATCATTTTTATACATTAGGTCTTTTATCTTAATCCATCTGACCATACAATATTAGGAGAATCACTTGTATGGCACCATACATTTGAATGATGTTTTATCACCTAGATATAAAACGTGGAACTTATAAAGCAAAGAAAAGATGCATGGCAAACAATTTCTTCCTTAACAGGGAATAATCGGAAGTCCGACCATTCTATCTTACCTGGAAGAAGTGATAGGGATCCTCTCTAGGTTTGCCCAAGAGCAAAAAAATGCGTCATTCCACTTGCTTCCGATATTGAAAAGCTTTTTTTTTTTTTTTTTTTTTACAAAACTGTGCACGAGTCAGCACGTCTGATGGCAAACAGCTGGGTGCACCGCTGCGTACTGTACTGCCAGTCATCTCTGGGGTGGAGGGGGTTTCTAGCATTAATAGCCATCTTTTTCTGGCCTTGAGGCAATGTGGATGGTGGAGCTTTCTAGCTCTGGTCCACTGTTAAAGTCCGTCGGTGTTTAGTAATCTGAACGATGCCACGCAAAGAGTCTTCATCTTGTTGGGTCCTGTGTCACCTGCCCTGTGGCTGAACACGGCGCACAAAGTCTGCTGAAAGAGAAGTGACGCTCAGAACTGCCGTGCGGCTTCTACATACACCGCCCACCTGAAACATCACACGCTTGGTATTAAATACAGATATGTTTACCTGTTGTATCAGGGTTTTTAGTCTAGTCATTTTTCCAACTGGTACTGACAGTCAAAGCATTTCCTGGTTCTTCTTCCTGCAGAAGCGGTTTTCTTCCAAGTACGCATTTCAAGTCACTTTTCAGGCTCTAAGGATCAGAGGACAAGAAGTTTGGCATGCAGATTTATTTTAAGACAGGGTAACCTTGGAGAGCAAATAAGAAAAGACAAACATTTGCTTTACCTGTTGAAATGGGGAAAGCTGATCCCTGTAAATACATTGTGCGCTGAAACACATTTATCTTTTGTCGAACTGCCATAGGAAGGTTATGTAAGCCATTCTGATTGTTCACGTTTTCCAAACCAGTTTCAAATTAGGAAAGCATCTCATCAACCTGAGAATTAGTTAGGTCTACTAGACAGAAACAGAGTTCAGTCTGTACACCTTAGTTGCCTTTTCTGTAAGACAGGAATAACACAATTTTTCAAAATCAGTTCAAGGCCCTTGGATGACATGTACGATGTAAGCATTCATATTTTTGTAATCATTTCCCTCTGTATTTCATGGTGGTGAAATTACAACTTGAGTATAGGTTAGGAGATGTCCTGGTCAGCCCAACGCCTGAAAGGGACCTCGGGGTTATGGTTAATCACAAGATGAACATGAGCCGCCAGTGCGATGCTGCAGTCACAGAGCTAATAGCACACGGGGATGCATTAGCTAATGCATCGTGAGCAGGGCAAGGAAGTGATACTTCCTCTCTGCTCAGCACTGGTGAGAGCCCAGCTGGAGTCCTGTGTCCAGCTCTGGGTGCTGCGCTACAGAAACAATGTGGAGAACCTTAAAAGGGTCCAGAGAAAGGCCACAA